AAAGGAGATGTCCCCTGTCCCTGTATTAAGTTGGCTAACCAGTGTCAGGAGATGTCCCTGATTCCCTGTATTAAGGTAGCTAACCAGTGTAAGGGGATGTTCCCTGTCCCTGTATTAAGGTAGCTAACCATTGTAAGGGGATGTCCCCTGTCCCTGTTTTAAGGTAGCTAACCAGTGTAGGGAAATGTCCCCGATTCCTTGTATTAAGGAAGCTAACCAGTGTAAGGGGATGTCCCCTGTCCCTGTATTAAGTTGGCTAACCAGTGTAAGCCTGTCCCTGTATTAGGGTAGCTACCTTAATACCGGGAAACGGGGACATCCCCTGACCCTATATTAAGGTAGCTACCTAGTGTAAGGGGATGTATGTCCCCTGTCCCTGAATGAAGGTAGATAACCAGTGAAAGGGGATGTCCCCTAGGGGATGTCCCCTGTACCTGTATTAAGGTAGCTACCCAGTGTAAGGGGATGTCCCCGATTCCCTGTATTAAGGTAGCTAACAAGTATAAGGGGATGTCCCCTGTCCCTGTATGAAGGTAGATAACCAGTGTAAGGGGATGTCCCCGTTTCCCTGTATTAAGGTAGCTAACCAGTGTAAGGGGATGTCCCCTGTCCCTGTATTAAGGTAGCTAACCAGTGCAAGGGGATGTCCCCTGACCCTGTATTAAGGTAGCTAACCAGTGTAAGGGGATGTCCCCTGTCGTATTAAGGTAGCTAACCAGTGTAAGGGGATGTCCCCTGTCCCTGTATTAGGGTAGCTAACCAGTGTAAGGAGATGTCCACGATCCATGTATTAAGGTATAGCTAACCAGTGTAAGGGGATATCCCCTGTCCCTGTATTAAGGTAGCTAACTAGTGTAAGGGGATGTCCCCTGTCCCTGTATTAAGGTAGCTTACCAGTGTAAGGAGATGTCCCCTGTCCCTGTATTAAGGTAGCTAACCAGTGTAAGGAGGTGTCCCCTGTCCCTGTATTAAGTTGGCTAACCTGTGTAAGGGGATGTCCCCTGTCCCTGTATTAAGGTAGCTAACCAGTGTAAGGAGATGTCCCCTGTCCCTGTATTAAGTTGGCTAACAAGTGTAAGGAGATGGCCCTGATTCCCTGTATTAAGGTAGCTAACCAGTGTAAGGGGATGTCCCCTGTCCCTGTTTTAAGGTAGCTAACCAGTGTAGGGAAATGTCCCCAATTCCTTGTATCAAGGTAGCTAACCAGTGTAAGGGGATGATCCCTGTCCCTGTATTAAGGTAGCTAACTAGTGTAAGGAGATGTCCCCGATTCCATGTATTAAGGTAGCTAACCAGTGTAAGGGGATTGTCCCCGATTCCCTGTATTAAGGTAGCTAACCAGTGTAAGGGGATGTCCCGGATTCCCTGTATTAAGGTAGCTAACTAGTATAAGGGGATGTCCCCTATTCCCTGTATTAAGGTAGCTAACAAGTATAAGGGGATGTCCCCTGTCCCTGTATGAAGGTAGATAACCAGTGTAAGGGGATGTCCCCGATTCCCTGTATTAAGGTAGCTAACCAGTGTAAGGGGATGTCCCCAGTCCCTGTGTTAAGGTAGCTTACCAGTGTAAGGAGATGTCCCCTGTCCCTGTATTAAGGTAGCTAACCAGTGATCCCTGTATTAAGGTAGCTAACCAGTGATCCCTGGATTAAGGTAGCTAACCAGTGTAAGGAGATGTCCCTGATTCCCTGTATTAAGTTGGCTAACCAGTGTTAGGTGATGTCTCGAATTCCCTGTTTTAAGGTAGCTAACCAGTGTAAGGGTATGTCCCCTGTCCCTGTTTTCAGGTAGCTAACCAGTGTAAGGAGATGTCCCTGATTCCTTGTTTTAAGGTAGCTAACCAGTGTAAGGGGAGGCCCCCTTTCCCTGTATTAAGGTAGCTAACCAATGTAAGGGGATGGTGTAAGGGGATGTCCCCAGTCCCTGTGTTAAGGTAGCTTACCAGTGTAAGGAGATGTAACCTGTCCCTGTATTAAGGTAGCTAACCAGTGTCAGGAGATGTCCCCGATCCCTGTATTAATGTCCCCTGTCCCTGTATTAAGTTAGCTAACCAGTGCAAGGGGATGTCCCCTGACCCTATATTAAGGTAGCTAACCAGTATAAGGAGATGTCCCCTGTCCCTGTATTAAAGTAGTTTACTAGTGTAAGGAGATGTCCCCTGTCCCTGTATTAAGTTGGCTAACCAGTGTAAGGTGATGTCTCGAATTCCCCGTTTTAAGGTAGCTAACCAGTGTAAGGGGATGTCCCCTGTCCTTGTATAAAGGTAGCTAACCAGTATCAGGAGATGTCCCCTGTCCCTGTATTAAAGTAGTTAACTAGTGGAAGGAGATGTCCCTTGTCCCTGTATTAAGGTAGCTAACCAGGATAAGGGGATGTCCCCTGTCCTTGTATTAAGGTAGCTAACCAGTATAAGGAGATGTCCCCGTTCCCTGTATTAAAGTAGTTAACTAGTGTAAGGAGATGTCCCTTGTACCTGTATTAAGGTAGCTAACCAGTGTAAGGAGTTGTCCCCGATCCCTGTATTAAGGTAGCTAACCAGTGTAAGGGGATGTCCCTGATTCCCTGTATTAAGTTGGCTAACCAGTGTAAGGGGATTCTCAAATTCCCATTTTAAGGTAGCTAACCAGTGTAAGGAGATGTCCCTTGTCCCTGTATTAAGGTAGCTAACCAGTGTAAGGAGATGTCCCCTGTCCCTGTATTAAGGTAGCTAACCAGTGTATGGAGATGTCCCCTGTCCCTGTATTATGGTAGCTAACCAGTGTAAGGGGATGTTCCCTGTCCCTGTATTAAGGTAGCTAACCACTGTAAGGGGATGTCCCCTGTCCCTGTTTTAAGGTAGCTAACCAGTGTAAGGAGATGTCCCCGATTCCTTGTATTAAGGTAGCTAACCAGTGTTAGGGGATGTCCCCTGTCCCTGTATTAAGGTAGCTAACTATTGTAAGTGGATTTTCCCTGTATTTTGGTAGCTAACTAGTATAACGGGATGTCCCCGATTCCCTGTATTAAGGTAGCCAACCAGTGTAATGGGATGTCCCTGATTCCCTGTATTAAGGTAGCTAACCAGTGTAAGGAGATGTCCCTTGTCCCGGTATTAAGATAGCTAACCAGTGTAAGGAGATGTCCCCTGTCCCTGTATTAAGGTAGCTAACCAGTGTAAGGGGATGTCCCCTGTCCCTGTATTAAGGTAGCTAATCAGTGTAATGGGATTTCCCCGATTCCTGTATTAAGGTAGCTAACCAGTGTAAGGGGATGTCCCTGATTCCCTGTATTAAGGTAGCTAACCAGTGTAATGAGATGTCCCCGATCCCTGTATTAAGGTAGCTAACCAGTACTAACAAGTATAAGGGGATGTCCCCTGTCCCTGTATTAATGTAGCTAATCAGTGTAATGGGATTTCCCCGATTCCTGAATTAAGGTAGCTAACCAGTGTAAGGGGATGTCCCGTGTAAGGAGATGTCCCCTGTCCCTGTGTTAAGGTAGCTAACCAGTGTAAGGGGATGTCCCTCATTCCCTGTATTAAGGTAGCTAACTAGTATAAGGAGATGTCCCCGATCCCTGTATTAAGGTAGCCAACCAGTGTAATGGGATGTCCCTGATTCCCTGTATTAAGGTTGTTAAACAGTGTAAGGAGATGTCCCCGATCCCTGTATTAAGGTAGCCCACCAGTGTAAGGGGATGTCCCTGATTCCCTGTATTAAGGTAGCTAACTAGTATAAGGAGATGTCCCCGATCCCTGTATTAAGGTAGCCAACCAGTGTAAGGGGATGTCCCTGATTCCCTGTATTAAGGTAGCTAACCAATGTAAGGAGATGTCCCCTGTTCCTGTATTAAGGTAGCTAACCAGTGTAATGAGATGTCCCCGATCCCTGTATTAAGGTAGCTAACCAATGTAAGGGGATGTCCCCTGTCCCTGTATTAAGGTAGCTAACCAGTGTAAGGGGATGTCCCTGATTCCTTGTATTAAGGTTGTTAACCAGTGTAAGGGGATGTCCCCGATCCCTGTATTAAGGTAGCTAACTAGTATAAGGAGATGTCCCTGATCCCTGTATTAAGGTAGCCAACCAGTGTAAGGGGATGTCCCCGATTCCCTGTATTAAGGTAGCTAACCAGTGCAAGGGGATGTCCCCTGACCCTGTATTAAGGTAGCTAACCAGTGTAAGGGGATGTCCCTGCCCTGTCCCTTTATTAAGGTAGCTAACCAGTGTAAGGGGATTTCCCCGATCCCTGTATTAAGGTAGCTAACCAATGTAAGGGGATGTCCCCTGTCCCTGTATTAAGGTAGCTAACCAGTGTAAGGTGATGTCCCTGATTCCTTGTATTAAGGTTGTTAACAATTGTAAGGAGATGTCCCCGATCCCTGTATTAAGGTAGCTAACCAGTGTAAGGTGATGTACCTGATTTCTTGTATTAAGGTTGTTAACAATTGTAAGGAGATGTCCCTGATCCCTGTATTAAAGTAGCTAACCAGTGAAAGGGGCGGATAAGGGGATGTCCCCTGTCCCTGCATTAAGGTAGCTAACTAGTGTAAGGGGATTTCCCCGATCGCTGTATTAAGGTAGCTAACTAGTATAAGGAGATGTCCCTGATCCCTGTATTAAGGTAGCTAACCAGTGTAAGGGGATGTCCCCGCCCTGTCCCTGTATTAAGGTAGCTAACCAGTGTAAGGGGATTTCCCCGATCCCTGTATTAAGGTAGCTAACCAGTGTAAGGGGATGTCCCTGCCCTGTCCCTTTATTAAGGTAGCTAACCAGTGTAAGGGGATTTCCCCGATCCCTGTATTAAGGTAGATAACCAGTGTAAGGAGATGTTCCCGATCCCTGTATTAAAGTAGCTAACTAGTGTAAGGAGATGATGAGATGAGTTGAAGAAGACAGCTTTTCTATAAAGCAGAACTGTTTCTGATAGTTAATGTTTGTTATTTTACTAGATTAGCTGATCTGACAGCCAAAGATAAAGAGAAGAAACTGTTGGAGAAAGCCAAGAATGACCTTGAAGCATTTATCTTTGAAATGGGCGACCGTCTGTCTCGGCCAATGTATGAAAAGTGTTCAACAGAGATGGAGAGAGAGGAGTACAGTAAAGTTCTCTCTGAATCATCAGACTGGATGTACGAGCAGGATGATGATGCCAAGAAAGAAGTAGTTATCTCCCTTTGCTATGTCACCAATTAAGCCTTTTAAATGTTTATATGTAAAGACTTGAGGATAAAACCTGACTGACTTATAAAACATGTAAATTTTTCAACAGTATTTAACAGTTTTGTCCTTTTACACACATTTTTTGGGCAATTTTTTTAATATAGCTTTACATTGATTGCATCAGAATAGCAAAGTTATCCAGAAGTAGGAAAACCAAGTTACATACAGCAGGGAGCCTTGACTTTAGGTCAATTGATTAACATATAGATAGGGATCTTCCTCAAATTTGATATGAATGTTCCCTTTAGTCTGTAGTTGTGCAAGTTTACTTTTGAGACTGATCAGCCAAAAGCCAGCCATCTTGGATTTTGACCGTTAATGTTCGTTATCACTATTTCCCAGGAAGTTCTGGAGGGATCTTTCTCAAATTTAATATGTAGGTTGCCCTTGGTCTGTAGTTGTGCATGTTCACTTTGGAAAGTGACCATAAAAACAAGATGGCCACAGGAAGTTTCTGATATTGTAATGATTGGATCTATTTCTCTAGCATTTAAATAACTGTACAAGAAAATACATGAAACAGTGCATTTACTGTTTACATGACTTGATCAAACAGATAAGAGAAAAGAAGAAAAAAGATCAAACTGACATAAACCAATGAAGATGGTACAATGGTGGGTACCAAGATCCCTCTGGGATCTCTTGTTTTAGGGGTAGGGGGCTAATTTCAAGAATTTACAAAAATCACCAAACATAATTTTAGGTTTTTAGCTCACCTGGCCCAAAGGGCCAAGTGAGCTTATGGCATTGTGCATTGTCCGTCTGTCCATTCGTCATCCGGTGTCTGCCCGGCGTCAACTTTTTACTTTTTTAAAAACTTCTTCTCAGTAACCAAAATGCCTTGGGTGATGATATTTGGCCAGAAGCATGCTGGGATGAAGGGCTACCAAGTTTGTTCAAATAATGGCCTTAATCCATTTTCAAGGTCACAGGGGTCAAATAGGTTTAAAACCTTTAAAACAACTTCTTCTGAATAACCAAGGGGCCTAGGGTGATGATATTTGGCCAGTAACATGCTGGGATGAAGGGCTACCAAGTTTGTTCAAATGAATGACCTTGACATGTATTCAAGGTCACAGGGGTCAAATATGTTTAAAACCTTTGAATGACTTCTTTTTAATAAGCAAAAGGTCAAATGTGATGATCTTTTGTTAGAAACATGCTGGGTTGGAGGACTATAAACTCTGTTCAACCTAATGTCCTTGTTCGACATTCAAGGTCATGGGTGTCATATGTTTAAATCTTTTAATAGGTTCTTATGGATCAAACACTGATATTCTGCCTGTAGTTGTATTTTAGTCCACTTTTAAGATTACAAGTGTGAGATTAATACCAGGTGAGCGATTCAGGCCCATTGGGCCTCTTGTTTAGCTCACCTGCCCGAAGGGCATCCGTCGTACGTCAACTTTTCCTTTAACTCTTTCCGTACTGTTGTCGTGTACATTTAATTGTCGCTAAAATCAGAACCCATCAGTTTGGAAGAAATGATTTTATTTGTGCAGAGTACACTTTTTTATTATGTGACTTAGTGTTTTCGCATTTGCCGCAAGATGTTTGAGTTTGGTGCCTCAAATGTAAACAAGATGGCGGCAACTTAATTTGATACGAACACTCGTAAATTCATCATCAGATATTTGTTGAGACTTATGGAAGTAAATTTGAGTATTCTTATATTATTCTTGATGAAATCTACTTGTATTTCGAAAAAAACTCAACGACTCCACATTCATACCCATAATCAATCCCCATTTCAAACGCTGTGTTAAATACAAGGAATCGTATCGTTTATTGCTAGACAGATGTCGATTTCTGAGTCATAATCAGCTGCCAGTTAGTCATTATGCTGCGAAAATGAATAAGTGTTTGTCTATGAACCAGAACATGAAACAATAACAATATTTGTTCACGGTAACCTGTTTAATTCTTGCAGCAGTTACACCTAGTCTAAAAAGTACATTAATAATCCGCCATTTTGTTATATGCGCGGGGGCGAGTCTAGTAAGGACATCCGGTACGGAATCCGGACCGGAGTTGCGGTACGGAAAGAGTTAATACACTACTAAGTCCTGAACGGCTTAGTGGATTTTAACTAAATTTGGTCTGGAGCATCCTTGGGCCAAGGGAACTTAATTTTGTATAAACAGTGAGTGTGGCTCCCCACTTGGGGTCAGAGGGGTGGGGCCAAATAGGGGAAATGAGGTAAAACCTTTAAAATCCTTCTTCTACCGTAGGAATTAAGGGATTTCATTCTAATTAAGACTGGAGCATCCTTTGGCCAAGGGCTCTCAATTTTGTATAAACAGTTGGTGTGGCCCCCCTGGGGGCAGAGGAACGGGGCCCAATAGGGGAAGTAGAGGTAAAACCTTTAAAATCTTTCTTCTATGGTAGGGATTAAGGGATTTTATCCTAATTAAGACTGGGGCATCCTTTGGCCAAGGGGTCTCCTAATTTAGCCCCAGGGGCATTCTTGGGCCAAGGGGGCTCACATTTGTATAAATAGTGGATGTGCCCCCCCCCCCCCTCTGGGGGCAAAGAAGCAGGGCCAAATAGGGCAAATGAGGTAAAACCTTTAAAATCCTTCTACTACCATAGGGATTAAGGGATTTTTTCCTTATTTAGTCTGAAGCATCCTGGGGCCAAGGGGACTCAATTTTGTAGACACGGTGGGCGTGGCCTCCCCTGGGGACAGAGGAGTGAGGCGCAATAGGGGAAATGGAGGTAAAACCTTTAAAATCCTCCTACTACCATAGGAATTATATTTACCCGGTAAGGGATTTCATCCCAATTTGGTCTGGAGCATTCTTGAGTAGAAGGGACTCAATTTTGTATGAACAGTGAGTGTGCCCCCCCCCCCCCCCCCCCCCCAACCTCTCCCTGGGGGCAGAGGGATGGGGCCCAATAGAGAAAACATAGAAAATTCTTCAAAATCTTTCTTTTGTGGGAATGACAGGATTTTGTCCAAATTTGGTATGAAGCACCCTTGGGTGAATTTGAACCAAATTGAATAAACTGTTGGTCTGACCCCCTGGGGCCTAATAAGGGTAATTTAGCAAATTATTTTTCTTCTGTAGGAATGACAGGGATTTGTCCATATTAGGCCTGAAGCATCCTTAGGTGAAGGGGACTTAATTTTGTGTAAACAGTTTATCTGACCCCCCATGGTGCATAGGGGCGGGGCCCAATAGGGGAAACATAGCAAATTCTTCAAAACCCTTCTTCTTCTGTAGGAATGACAGGATTTTGTCCAAATTTGGTATGGAGCAGAGAGGAACAATTTTTAGCTCACCTTCCCGAAGGGCAAGTGAGCTTATGTCATGGTACGGCGTCCGTCGTCCGTCCTCGTCAGTCAACTTTTCCTTTAAACAACTTCTTCTGAAGAACGAACAGGCCTAAAGTCATGATATTTGGCTGAAAGCTTTGTTGGTAGGAGCCCGACAAAGTGTGAGAACTAAAATGACAATTACCTGCTTTCAAGGTCATAGGGGTCAAATATGTCAAAAACTTCACACGACTTCTGAAGAATTTAAAAGATACACAATCTTCATATTTGGCTGATGGCTTCCTGGGATGGAGCCGAACAAAGTTTGAGAATGAAAATGACCTTGACCTACTTTCAAGGTCACAGGGGTTAAATGTGTCAAACACTTCAAACGACTTCTTCTGAAGAACTGAAAGGTATATGTCCCTGTTCATAAACAACATCAGACCACCAGCTCTGTCCCTGTTTCATAAACAACATCAGACCGCCAGCTCTGTCCCTGTTTCATAAACAACATCAGACTGCCAGCTCTGACCCTGTTCCATATACAACATCAGCTCTGTCCCTGTTTCATAAACAACATCAGATCACCAGCTCTGTTCCTGTTTCATAAACAACATCAGACAACCAGCTCTGTCCCTGTTTCATAAACAACATCAGACCACCAGCTCTGTCCCTGTTTCATAAACAACATCAGACCGCCAGCTCTGTCCCTGTTTCATAAACAACATCAGACTGCCAGCTCTGTCCTTGTTTCATATACAACATCAGACCACCAGCTCTGTCCCTGTTTCATAAACAACATCAGACTGCCAGCTCTGTCCTTGTCTCATATACAACATCAGACCACCAGCTCTGTTCCTGTTTCATAAACAACATCAGATTGCCAGCTCTGTTCCTTTTTCATAAACCACATCAGACCAACGGCTCTGTCACTGTTTCATAAACAACATCAGATCGCCAGCTCTGTTCCTGTTTCATAAACAACATCAGACAACCAGCTCTGTCCCTGTTTCATAAACAACATCAGATCGCCAGCTCTGTCCCTGTTTCAAAACAGAATTGCATAACTCTTTTTTTCTGGCCCGAAGGGCCAGGTGAGGTTATGCTGTGGCGCAGTGTCCGTTGTCCATTCGTCTGGCCTCCGGCATCAATTTTAAACTTTAAACAACTTCTTCTTAATAACCACAAGGCCTCGGGTGATGATATTTAGCCAGAAGCAAACTGGGATGAAGGACTACCAAGTTTGTTCAAATGAATGACCTTGACCCATTTTCAAGGTCACAGGGGTCAAATATGTTAAAAAGTTTAAAGACTTCTGAATAACTAAAAGGACCAGGAAGGTGATATTTAATCAGTAGCATGCTGGGATGAAGGGCTACCAAGTTTGTTAAAATAAATGACCTTCACTTATATTCAAGGTCAAAGGAGTCAAATATGTTTTAAATCTTTAAACGACTTCTTCTGAATAACCAAAAGGCTTTGAATGTTGATATTTGGCCAGAGGCATGTTAGGATGAAGGGCTACCAAGTTTGTTCAAATGAATGACCTTGACTTATGTTCAAGGTCAAAGGGGTCAAGTATGTTTAAAATCTTTAAATGACTTCTACTGAATTACCAAAAGGCACATGATAATGATATATGGCTTGAACATGATTGGATAAAGGGCTACCAATTTTGTTAAAATCAATTATCTTGACCTATACTTAAGGTCACAGGGGTCAAATATGTTTAAAATCTTTAAATTACTTCTTCCAAAAATCCAAGAGGCCTTGGGTTTTTCTTTTTGGCCAGTAGTAATGACCTTGTTGGACTTTCAAGGTCACATGGGTCAAATGTTTTAACATCTTTTAATAGACCTAGGCTCTTTTGAATGATTTATAGTCATAAGTTTTGATATTTTGCCTATAAGTTTACTTGAGATCACTTTTAATGTTACAAGTGAGAGATTAATACCAGGTGAGCGATGCAGGCCTATTGGGCCTCTTGTTTATTTAGTTTTTTGTTCAAATATGTTGCCCAGTAAGAAATTTGGACATAAATAACTTGTGCTGAAGTAAACTGACATGGAAACATTGCAGAGGCTCACAAAATGATTGGTGAACATGCTGTTAGAATTTTTAGTGTAATATTGACTATTTGTTTAATAATGAAATTACACTGTTCCTTTCAGTCATTAGTGTTTTGATGTGTGGTTAATAGAACTAATCAATAATGAACTTGTATACCTTGTGTACTGCAGATCTATACAGAGAAGCTACGGGAACTGAAGAAGATGACCAAGGATCTAGAAATGCGTGTCAGAGAGACGAAGGAGCGGCCCGAGGCACTGAAAGCTCTTGAGTCAATGCTTAACCACTCTGTGTACTTCCTACAGACTGTCCAGAATCTGTCACAGGTGGAGGAACCCATCTTCACGGAGGTCGAGGTCACAACACTCGGAAAACTCATCAATGATACTATAGTAAGTATAGGGGCCTGTAATCAACTATCAGATTAGTGCAGGGAAATGTTTTGAGGCATTTTGTTTGTGGAGAGAGTTTTCACAGTGCAAATTATACATTGTTGAGCACATAGTAGTTATAATAACTGCAAAGTATAATTTGAAAAGTGAAATGATTGTAAGTGATTCTTGAAAATTTACTCATGTTGGCATTCTCATACTAATACAATTTCTACATTGTCTTGTTTTTATTTGCTTCACACACTGCAGTTTTGGGCCAAGATATCAGACTTAATATTTCACATCTTTCTTTCGTAGCTTAAGATACTTCTTATCTGTAAACTGTAAATTATAACCTCCCGCAATGAAGTTAGGGGGGGGGGGGGGGGGGGGGGGTATACTTGAATCAGCTTGTCTGTCTGTCCGTTTGTCCGTCCGTCTGTCTGTCTGTTCTGACACTTTTTAGCTCACCTGCCCGAATGGCAAGTGAGCTTATGCCGTACTGCGGTGTCCTTCGTCCATCCAGCGTCAACTTTTCCCATTAAAAGCCTTTATCTCCTGAATGACTGATTGGATTTTAACTAAATTTGATATGAAGCATCCTTGGGACCAGGGGCTCAATGGATTTATGAAGTATTTAATATTTTTCACTGATGAACATTTTGTTATGATATTATGAAGCAAAGTTGGTCGGAATTAAAGAACAAGTCAACTGACCAAAGATCAGGGTCACTGGGTTAATGATCAAGGTCATTTAGGTCCAAAGGTCAAAGACAAAGAGGATCTCTGACTTTGACCCTGGCTCTTGATGGAGGAGGTATATATAAGGTGAAATAAAACAAATCAAAGCTAACAAATGAGTATTGCACCGGTATTTACATTTCTGTTAGCCCAGCAAATATGGAGGTGGAAGATAACAAGACTCGCATCATAGTACATGTAAAATGTATATTTTGCTTCCTTGCGATTCTTTTTGAATTCCAAATGTCAAGCTCAGCTATATGGGCAGATTGCTTCTTGATGATTATGGGGGATATATTGCCACAAGACGGGGCCCTTACTGACCTGTCAGTGTTCTACTTTAAAATTGTGATCAAGATCATGCACTCATTAGATATCGCCATTATATGCTGTTTTACCTATTGTGTTTTGTGTTTCATGATTAGAGTTGTGTACCTTTCATATCATCAGTTATTAAGCAAAGACAGAGGGTGTGGAACTTGATCTTCTGGAAACAAGATCCTTGTAACAAAAACATATATCCATATCTGTGTAATGGAAGGGAGTCATCTATTCTGATGTCCATATCTGTGTAATGGAAGGGAGTCATCTATTCTGATGTCCATATCTGTGTAATGGAAGGGAGTATTCTATTCTGATGTCCATATCTGTGTAATGGAAGGG